TGATGAGGGCAACAAATGTATAGATGTGCTTTACACAATTGATCTATGTATTGTGATGAATTGTATGAGCCCCAATAAATTGATTTAAAAATAAATAAATAAATAAATAAAAAGTAAAAAAAAGTGCTTGCTCTGAACAAGTTGGTTTTGCACAATTATATGATGTGATCTCCAGCTTCGTTTCTATCACTAAGACTATATTCTCCAACTATTATTCCTTCCTCTTTGTTTCCAACTTTTGCATTCCAATCACCAATACTTATCAATGCACTTGATTACATGTTTGATCAATTTCTTACTGCAGACTGGTAGAATTCTTCAATTTCTTCCTCACTAGCTTTTGTGATTGGTGCATAAATTTGGAGTAAAAGTTGTATTGATTGGATTTCTTTAATCCAGATAGATACAATCCCATCACAGACAGCATTGTACTTCGTGATTGACTCTACAATGTCCTTTTTGACAATGAACACCATGTCATTCCTCCAGATTGTGATATTCCCAGCATAGTAAATCATGTGAGGTTCTGATTCAAAATGGCCAATCTCAAATCTGCTTCAACTCACTAATGCCTTGGACATTGATCTTTATGTATTTCATTTCATTTTTGACCACTTCCAACTTTCCTAGATTCGTACTTCGCCCATTCCAAGTTCCAATTGTTAGCAGATGTTTGCAGCTGCTTCCCCTGCTGTTTCCCCTTACCTGGAGTCATGCCCCATCAGCAAATGAGCATCCTGAAGCCTCCACTCCCCCAGCTTTACCGGACTCGTGTGACCATGGTCGACTCCACCCTGAGAAATCAGTTCCTCCATGAGGGTCCCATGTTCTGGAACTCTCTCTGACAATGTTCTTTCTGTATTCATTGGGCCTTCAGTAGTTGACAGAGTTTCGAAGCGATGCATGCTTTCAGCGACTCCTTCCTCTGAAATAGGGAGTCTAGCCCTTCCTGCTCATTGGCTCTTGGTCTGGAAGCTCTGCTGAAGCCTGGTCACTTTGGGTGACCCTGGCGGCCCTTGAAATACCCGAGACATTGCTTCTAGCATCACAGCAACCCAAAAGTCATCACAAGAGCTGCTGGTGGTTTCGAACTGCTGACCTTGTAGTTAGCAGCCCAACTTATAACCCTTACACCAACAGGGCTGCTACCTAAAAACTTAGTGTCGCTCCCATCCCCATCAGTTAATTCTTTAACAATGTGACACCTATAATTAAATCTCTTCACATTAAAATATCGCTTTACATTAAAATAGTCTACTATTTTGCTGGCAGGAGGGAGAAACTGGTAGGGGGGTGGCGGATGGTAAACAGTGTCAGGTGCTTGGAAGAAGTCGTCTCCCGTATTGTACTGCCAAAGCCATCCTCTGTGCAATCTATTCTTTAGATGGCTAAGAATTCTAAACGTAAACTCATTTCGTGAGGAGAATATGCAATCTGGAATTCTTATCAAACTCTTTACAGTTTACAGATTACTAACAGTCATCCCATCCCTATTATTTGGCAAAGGAACTCTGATTTTCACTGGCTTGCTAAAAATAAAAATCCACTGGGAAGTATTTTTATTGCTCCTGTTTCAGGTTCCGATAAGCAGAGTGACACCCTATGCCCCAGGTCACAGCCAGGTAGCGACAAGGAATGGACGGAGACCTGCGAGGCTGTTGAGGGAGAGAAAGGCTTTTAAGTTCTTGTAGGAGTTTTGACAGGTTTTAATGAACAGTTTTCTGGCAAGAGAGCGTGGACACAAAATCAGCGTTCTGATTGAAAGACCTGCTTGTCTTTTCAGATAATGCCAGTCTTTTTTTTCCTTCCTGCCTCACCTACCTGCCCAGTTGACTGTGCTTCTGAATGACTCGTCTGAGTCTGCTCGCTCATCTGAGAGCAGAAGCAGAAAGGCAGAGCAATAGAGGCACCGGGTGCTCTCTGTTTTGCAGGGAATCAAGGGGAACCCCACATTCTGTGATCACCAGAAAGTCTCTTTTTGAGAAGGGGAGAAGAAGACCAGGAGAAAAAGGACAAGTGCTTGCTTCTGTGGAGCCCCCCCACCCTTCCCTCGGAAACAGATTCTCACACTGGGAAGAGATGGTCTCTCCTTAGGAAAGAACCCATTAAAGGTGAGTTTTTTTTCTCCCCCTTTCTTTTTCTGTTTTGCTTCTTCCTAGATACTGCTAGGAGTTCTTACCAAACAGGACACGATCTTGTTCAGAGTGTTCTGAGAGGATAACGGGAGGGGTGGTGTGTGTGTGTGTGTGTGTGTGTGTGTGTGTGTGTGTTGATCAGGGGGAGAGTTGTTACTTAAAGCGTGGGTGTCATTTTGTTTCTCTCGCTTAGAGATTTTCTGCCCCAGAAGATCTACTTTTCTCTGATGGTACCCCGTACCTTGAATTGTGGCTGGGGCTCGGTGGGACACGTTGTAGGCTTGCGGACAAAAAGAAAATCGTGGGAGAGGGCCCATGGGAAGGTAGTGCCCATCTGCTTCTTGCAATGTGTATGGTGTCTGGAAAATGAGCTACCTTCTTTTCCTGCCTGCAAAAGTGATCTAATAAGATTATACTCCAGGCTGGCCACGAGGGTTGAAAGAGCCGATGTAAAGAAACCTTCCTGGTCTGTAGATGGCACTCATTAAGTGTTGTATGTGGATTCATGGTTACATGTGTCTGTGGGGAGGTGTGTCTTCAACGCGGGTAAACGGAAGCCTGTCTGTGAGAGGGAGTGCTGTTGGGTCCCCTCGGGTTGATGTCACGTCACAGGGACCCCATCGGATGGAAAAGAACGGCTCTGGGTTTTCCAGGCTGTCATCCTGATGGGAACCGATTCAGGGTCTTCCTTCCAGGGAGAGGCCGGGGGGTGGGGGGCTTGCACAGGGCAGGTGGAGACCACAACTGAATTTTGTGCACTGAGAAGCCTCCTGGTGTGTAAACAGCCAAACAAGAAACATAGCTCTTCTTTTCAAAGGGCCTCTCCTTTTAGACTGGACGCAGGGGAAATCTGTATGGCGTGCCGTCTCCCTCCAGATTTTCCAGAAATTCTTGGTCAAAGATAAGAGCTTCCTCATAGAAACAGGTGGTGAGGGCTTCCGGGAGGGGACGAGGAATGAAGGGTGGGGACTTCCTCTTACTCATTCATTCTCTACTTGAGCAGGTATTCAATCTGGCTTCCCTTCCTGTCACGGGATGGGAGGTGGCAATTGATCCCAGCCCCATTGGCTAGGGCCCTAGGTGGGTATTTACTGAAGATATTTGTCCAGAGGAGAAATACTTTTTTTTTGCTATTAGTTTGGAGTTGAGCTTGATGTTCCTATGAGCGTGGTCAGATTTGTTTGTAACTGAAAACATTTTGTTCTGTCCAAGGACGCCGTCTTCCCCCTCCTTTCCTGTGCCTCACCTCTGCCTGGTCTTCATTTCATGAAGATGTCCTGGTGGAAGAGGAAGTTCTCCCTGCAGTCTTACCTGGGGGCCCTGGCTTGTTACATGCTGCTAGCCATTGTGGCTCTGAGACTTTCTCTCCGATTGAAATGTGACTTTGAGCACCTGGACCTGGAGTCCAAGGACTTTCAAAGCCAACGCTGTAGGAACAACTTGTACATGACCCTGAAGCTGCCAGCAAAAAAGTCCATCAACTGTTCTGGGGTCATTAGAGGGGATGAGGAAGCCGTGATTCAGTCTCTCCTGGAAAACCTAGCAAGCAAGAAAAACAGGAAGCCTTTCACCGACGCGGACTACCTCAACCTGACCCACAACTGTGAGCACTTTAAGACCCAGAGGAAGTTTATAGAGTTCCCACTGAGCAAAGAAGAGTTAGACTTCCCCATTGCCTACTCCATGGTGGTCCATGAGAAGATTGAAAATTTTGAAAGACTGCTGAGAGCTGTGTATGCCCCCCAGAACATATACTGCGTCCACGTGGATGAAAAGTCCCCAGAACCATTCAAAACGGCCATCAAGGCGATTGTCGCATGCTTCCCAAATGTCTTCATGGCCAGTAAACTGGTTCCAGTGGTTTATGCCTCGTGGTCCAGGGTGCAGGCAGACTTGAACTGCATGGAAGACTTGCTCCAGAGCCCGGTGCCATGGAAATACTTCCTGAACACATGTGGGACAGACTTTCCCATAAAGACCAATGCCGAGATGGTCCAGGCTCTCAAGGTGTTGAATGGGAAGAGCAATATGGAGTCAGAGATGCCTACGGAGTACAAAAAATCCCGCTGGCAATATCACTATGAGATGACAGACACGCTGCGCAAGACCAGCAAGATGAAAGACCCTCCGCCCGGCAATTTGCCTGTGTTCACAGGGAATGCCTATATCGTGGCTTCGCGAGATTTCGTCCAGCATGTTTTAGAGAACCCCAAATCCCAACAACTGATTGAGTGGGTAAAAGACACCTACAGCCCCGATGAGCACCTCTGGGCTACCCTTCAGCGAGCACCGTGGATGCCTGGCTCTGTTCCCTACCACACCAAGTATGACGTCTCGGACTTGGCTGCCATTGCCAGACTGGTCAAGTGGCAGAATCACGAAGGAGACATGAGACAGGGGGCGCCTTACCCACCTTGCACTGGAATCCACCAGCGGGGTATCTGTATTTATGGGTCTGGGGACCTACATTGGATGCTACAGACCCATCACCTGCTGGCCAACAAGTTTGATCCAGCCGTGGATGACAATGCCCTCCAGTGCTTAGAAGAGTACCTGCGCCATAAGGCCATCTATGGGACTGAACTCTGAGACATTGGACGAGAGAATTGGCAATTCCTGCCAATTGTCCATGCAAACATGCTCAGAACTTGCAAATGCTCCATGCAAACATGCTCAGAACTTGCTGGGACAATGTGCGACTGGGAGGCCAAGGCTCTGGGATCGATGGCATTCCCCAGGGACAGGGGACTTCCAGTGGAGTGTGCGTAAGTCAATCCCAGCTGGTTCTGCCACCCCGATTGCAATAGCTCCTCCACAGACTTTCTCACGGAGAATAAGAACCTTTGTTAAGTGGGGAAGCCAGGGAGGGCAGTGGGGTAGGCGACCCTGGGTTTGGGATGAATGCAGAGTCAGCTTTTCCACTCTGTGCAGATGCCCTTTCTAGTCATGCCGGCCATGGAACGGAGGGCGCTTCACTAAAGGAGAGTATAAAACCAAAAACTGATAGGAGGAGAGCCTTCAGTTTGTACTGTCAACCTTAAATTAAGTGACTTCCGATTCAAAGGCCGACGTTTGCTTCTTGTCTAGTAAGACAAAAGTAAGGTACATGAAAAATTAATAAATAGAGAGAGAAGAAAATGTGTGAGGTTTTTTCCTTCTATCAGCGACCTTGAAAATCCCTGATGGGTGGAAGCCACTCACTGTTATGCAGAAACGGGGCCAGCCACGTTGAATGCTCAGCCAGTCCAAACGAACGGGGACAGAAGTGGATGCGCTTGTCAATCCGTTGGATGGCCCGTGCTTCCTTCAATGCAGGCACAGCTAACATTGTTAAGCTTCCATAACAGTGATATGAGCCATTTAGATAGAGGCACTGATTCTTCATCCAAAGTGGAATTTTAATGGCAGGCGATGGTGGGCTGGGGGGAGGGGTGGCACCCTTAGGAATGATACTGGGAAATGAGAATAAACTGGGGCTGTCTAGCTAAACCATGATGTCCGGTCACTTCACGTTTTTTGACCTTGAGTCAAAATTCTCATTTCAGTATGTGAGTCAGAGGATCATTATTTGTAGTTTGTTGGTGAAAGAATACATTTCCTTCTTTGTGGTGAAAGAATCACATGTGGGGGTTACAGTGTATGTGGCTGGGTGATGTGTGGGTCCAGTCGGTGTATGCATGGGCTATGATGTGGGGAGTGAGGGTGTGTGTGCTTAAATATTGCCAAGTGCGACAACTTCCTTTCTGGATCTCCAGCGATAATGGTCAGACATTTGGACTCGAGGTCATCTGGTTCTATGGTGGCAAGGGATCCTATATGACATGTAGACTATAGCTGATCTTCTGCACACAATATGCTCAGCAAAAGAGACTGACTTACAAACCAGCTTGGCACGTTTGAGTGACATTCCCATTAATATGTGACATCTTCACGAACATTTATCTTCATATCTGACTGTGGTCCCATGAACCTCATTCTCTGACCTTGGGCTCCATTTTCTCCACAACCCATGTGCCTTGATGTTGGACGCAGTATTTTGTGTTGGACTGTGTTGGACGCAGTATTTTCTTTTGGAAAATACTATGCTGGACGCAGTCTTTTCTTTTACAAGATTGTACTCCTGTGGTAAATGCCTTACCTGCATTGTAAATGAGTCTTTTTGGCCTCGCTCTTGGCCCCACCTCAGAAATGACTGATGGAAGGATCTCCAGTAGAAGTGCCCTGTAGAGTCTGTTCCCCTGGAGTCAAGGTAATCAGGAACCCCATAATCACTAGCCCAGGTGACAGCCTTGGGACATCCTCTGAGGTGAACGGAGGCTGTGGACAGTGGGACCCCAAAGCTGCTTCCCCTGAGTGCATGTGTTTGTTTTGAAACAAGAACCTGGGTCCCTTTGACCTCGTTGTCCTTGTTTAAAATAACAGACTATTTCAGGTCAATAAAATGACTAAAATAAGAGGTTGTAACTTTGGGAAGGAAGTTCCTGGAACTTTCCAAGCCTTAATGTTTTCTCTACAATGAGATTCAGGTGTGTGGAAAGTGCTCTTTGTTTCACAAACCATTGGAAAGGTTGACTCTCGCCCATGTTTACTTAGGGTATTTTAGATACAATTAAGCCAACACATCTGTTGATTTATCCTCCCTTTAAGTTTTCTCTATTTATTCAACGTTTCTCTGCAAAGAAACATTCTTATGAATGAATTAAGGAACAGCTATGTTTGTATTACCTCTTAAGGTTTGGATTTCCTCCATTTGGTTGACTTGTGGTCTCCTGGAGAACATTGTTTTTATTTACATCAAAGCCTGCAGATGCCCGTCTCCTCAACCTCTCAACTTGGCTAATCACCATCTCCAATTTGATGGGCTCAAAATCAAACTCTTAATTTTGATAAATAAGCCTCTTCCATGGGCTTCCCCAGCTCGTTTGATTGGCAGCTACATGCTTCCAACTATTCAAGACCAAAACCCATTCCTTGCCTCTTCCACCTTCTGGCGGAGGCCAGCTTTCCTTGACTTGTGGCCCCATCACTGTAGCCTCTGTCTCCATGGGGACATTGCTCTCCCCTCTTTCTCTGTGTTAAATCCTCAGAAGGCTTGGTGTGATGGCCTTTACAGCCCATCAAGAGGATCTAGAGGCCATCCTCCCCTTCTCCACATGCCCTTAACTTAAGATCACCTCTGCATGGAGAGTGTTGTGTAAGGTAACATTCACAGATTCCAGGGATTAGGATTGATCTCTCTAGGACCCATTATTCACTTCACAAAAGAGTGCTGGGGGCATAAGTGGTTACACTTTGGGCTGCGAACTGCAGGGCCAGTAGTTGGAAACCACCAGCCGCTCCACAGCCACTTTACTCCGGAAAAGTTACAATCTCAGAAACGCACAGGGCAGCTCTACAGTACCCTGGAGAGGTGCTATGGGTCAGCGTGGACTCGATGGCAAGGAGAGAGAGTTATTCATCCAACCTCAGCTAGTGAGAGTGTTGTAACATTGGCTCACATGCCCTTGGTCTTTGGTAACTTCCTGACTTTGTGATACAAGAAGCCTTTCCAGGTGGATTATATGCATGCCCCAGCATTCACTTTTAGTTAGGAGTTCCTGGATGGTACAAAGGCTAGACTACTAACCCAAAAGTTGGGGGTTTGAACTCACCCAGAGGCCCCTGGAAAGAAGGCGCTGGTGATCTGCCGACAGGGCACAGTTCTACTCTTTGCCATGAGATCAGAACCGACTCTAACAATTTTCTGCCTGTGGTTTTCACCTCTACTTAGCCATTCTTCCAAGGTCCCTTGGGGGTTATTTTGTTGTTTTGAAGTGTGAAATGGTATTGATAAATCATCATTTAGGGATCAGGGATACCCGTTGGTAGTCACTGAATCAGAGCCCAGGAATTTATTTGTAAAGAGTCTTTCTGATGGGGATTGAGGTGTGTGGGTGACTGCCCTCAGTATTATATAATAGTCCACGCTGAATCTTCCTTCCTGTGCCTCCAATTTGGGGTTTTGTTGCTTTATTGGTTTTAGGTCTTGAGGGGGGGTGATGTCAAGTGATGACAGAGGGAGAAACGCATAGAGCACACTGATTCCATGCACTGGCCAAAGGAGCAGTGTTGCCAATGACCTTCTAGAAGCAGGAAGAACAATGTCAAATCCCTGCCCAGGGACCAATTTCTTCTGGGAATAGGACTTTATAAGGTTCACAGAACCAGAGAATAAGAATTGAGCTATTCAAGAGAGAATTCAGTTGACAAGTGTTTCCGCGTAATGCTGTCTAGAGCTAACCCCACTAAATCCGTTGCTGTATGTGGCCAAGTTCTGTAGGTCTTGAGAGGTGAAACTGCCCTCAACTCAGGTGCAGACTCGATCTCTGTACCAGAAGCCCCCATCCCCATCCCCAATGTCCTGTTTTTACTACAGCGTGCACAGATGAATGAATTTTCACCAGATTAGAGGGGTTTTAAAGAGCGGATCAACAGCATAAAGGTTACAAATTCATCCTGAGGTGGCCTATAAAGTATCATAAGATGATGACAAGCTTTGTTCAGAATGATAGCAACGGTGTTCCAACGAGACAGTTGTATAAGACATACATGCTGCGGCACTAAAGTAACTTGGGCAATGAAAACAAGCAAAGGTTTGACAAATGAGCCCGTGCATGTTATTTCAGGTCAAGCACTACACATGCCAGGTATTTTTTTTTCTAAAGTTTTCCAACACATCTACTAGGAGTGAGATGGGTATGACAAATCCAACCTACCCATGGTGGAGCTTCAATAACTATCAGTGCTCGGTCAGTTTTGTTTGACCTCGGTCACTCACTAGCCCCTCTCCTCATCCCTCATTGCTTTTGAAGTAAGGGCCAGACTTCATGTCATTTCATTCAAAAATAGTTTAATAGTAGGCGTTGACTTTGTCCCACTGGGACCTCACATGGACATAATTTTCTCCAGGGAAAATATAAGTGGTGAGTCTTGTTTATTTAGAGATGCCCAGAAAATTCTTCAATAAATGATGCCAGCAAAATTGGATCTCTCTCTGCAGAAGCATCAAACAGGACCTCCCCCCACGTGCAAAAGGGAACTCAAGATGGATCAACGAGATACGGGTAAATCACAGAACAATGAAGATCTTCAATGAGAAAGTAGACAAACTTATGGAGCCTATAGTGGGCATAGACACATTATACATAACCAACGAGGCACACCCAGGAGAACACAAAGTAGATGTCTGGGATCTTATTAGAAATAAGACACCTTTGCACACCCAAAGAATTGATCCAAAAAGTAAAAAGAGAACCCGTAGCCTGGAAAAAAAATCTTTGGCAATAGCACAACAGACAACGGACTAATCTCTAACCTCTACAGAAAATTATAACTCCTCAGTAAGAAAAATAACCCAATTAAAAAGCAGGCAAAGCACATGAACAGACGATTTGCCAAAAATGGCGAACAAACATGAAAATATACACACGATTCTTCGCCATCTGGAGGATTCAAATCAAAGAAATGATGAGATGTCACCTGACACCACCAACAACAGCTCAATTAACACAAAACAAGAAAACAACAAATACTGTAGGGGGTGCCAAATTTCATACACTGTCGGAGGGTCTGTAAATGTCTACAACCATTGTGGAACGTAATATGGTGCTATCTCAAACAATTGGGAATAGGAATTTCATACAACCTGGCAAAATCTTTGCTGGGTATATACTCTAAAGAAACAGGAGAGGTAGCCCTAACAGACACATGCATTCCCACCTCGAGGGCAGCAGTGCTCAGGATAGCAAGAAGCTGGATGAATGGATAAGAACACTTTGGTGTATCCACTCAATGGAATATCATACATCCCTGTAAAGCAATGATGGAGCCAGGAAGCACCTCCTGACTTGTATAGATCTGGAGATATGCTGAGTGAAGCTGGTCAGCCACACAAAGGGCTAGTCTGGTATGAGACCACTTCCAGAAGGATGAAAACCAAGACACATATTTGCATAATAAAGGGAACAGACTTAAGAGGTGTTGATGTGGATGAAAAGGAGGCCGGAGCAGCTCTGGAGGAGGCTGGAGAAGAAAAATCAGAGGGCCTGGCGGGGTGAGGTAGAATACTGGTGTGGGTGGGGTGGGGTGGGGTGTGAGAAATAGGAAGGGGAAGAGAGTGCATGCTAACAAATTCCTTTATTCTCATATTTTATGGAGGCCTCCCACTGGTGGGCTAGAGATGAGTCTCAATCAAATTCTTATAACCAAGATTAATCCCACAATATCCTCCCAGCATAGTGCTGCCTTAAAGTGACCTCTTACAAGCACATGGCTGATTGCTATCTGGCCTGCAGCTTTATCTATAGGAGCAGACATGTGGCAATTGCTCTTTCTGTTCAGGGGACAGTCACTCCCCCTCACCTGCCTCCAGCACTGGTGTTAGGTTGCTTCTTCAAAGAACTCAGGAACCTCTGAGATTAGGGTACACCCCACTTTGCTATGTATGTGGTTCTGTGTAATTAGAGGGGCTTGCATGCCTGGAGAGTATATAAGATATTGTTGAGAATACAATCTCTCTCTGCTCTGATCTGGTTCCCGAGGCCATGGTGGAAGTGAGCACCCCAACACGTTGCTCTGATCTGGTTCCCGAGGCCATGGTGGAAGTGAGCACCCCAATATGTCTGTCTGTCTCTAATTTCTTCCCTTCAATTCCACATTGGTCCCTTTGGACCTGCCTGGATGTGAGGCTGGATCTCGCAGTTTGAGACCCATGTGGGGGAGCAGGGTGTGTGTGAATGAGTCATCTGAACTGTTTAGCACAGAGTGGATGGTCTTAAAGGTACACCACTCAATTCACAATAAAAAATAAAGACGGTCAGATAATTGGAAATGTCTGAAGGGCAGTTTGCTTTCCTGTGTTCTTCATTGATAGCTTTTGGGGTTCTACACTCCGCTTTTCTGACTGAACTTTTGGTTTTGGAAAAGTAGAGCCAAGCTGGCTCTTAAGGAACCCTGGTGGCATAGTAGCTATGCATTGGGCGTCGATCCTCAAGGTCATTGGGTTAGCAGTTCGAAACCACTAGCTATTCCATGGGAGAAAGACGGGGCTCTACTCCATAACAGTTACTGGCTCAATCTCACAGGGGCAGTTCTACCCCGTCCTATAGGGAATCTATGAGTCAGTGTCAACTCAATGGCAGTGAGAGTAGATGAGTGGGGCCTTGGTCCCAGCAGTAAAATTCAGCCAGTTCCCACTGGCTCAGAACTGACACCTAATCTTTTCTTGTTGAGTTCAGCAAACAGTCATTTAAATGGCACTTGTCATCAGGGTTATCTCTAAGTTGGGGTGCTGAGAAGGAGCCCAAGGTGAAAAGCATAAATTTACATTTCTCACTTTTGTAACAGTTTTATTGGCCTTTCATGCACATATCATACTCTTTACTCTCCCCTGCACCCCCAGGAAGTTCAATTTATTTGGTGGGCACAGGAGAGGCAGGGCCTAGGGCTTCCCAGGCCTCCATGAAAGCAGGGCCCACCCTTTGTCCCAGGGGCCATGGTTGGGGGTGTATTTGACTTGGCAGGTATCTGGGATGAGGCGCTTCTCAGTCACCATCTCCTCAAGTTCATCGCATTAAACTTGGTTAAGTCCCATTTCTTGGAGATGTGGATCTTCTGGTTCCCAGGGAACTTGAACTTGGCCCTTCATAAGGCCTCAATCACTTGCGCCTTGTTTTGAAGCTTGGTGCGGATGAGCATGATGACCTGGCCAAGGGGGACTCTAGCCACTCTGCCTTGGGATCTCCCCAAAGCACCTGGCATCTCAGTTTGGAGTCTAGGTTAGGACTGCAGAAATTAGCCAGGCCACAGCCACCGGAGAGCAGCAGAGGGTTGTCTGCAAGGCCCCTTAGAGCAGCCTCTACATGCCAATAGGCGGCATACACTACCGAGGAGGCTTGCTGTTTGCAGCCATGGTGCACTGGCCCCCCTGGAATGAGGATGGTCAGCTTAATTGGCTGCAGCTCCTTCCTCTTTTGTAACATTGAACTGCACCAACAGCTTCTTCTAAGTGCCTGTAGTAACGTTCACTCTGTCCCTAGGTCTAAAAAGGTAGACAGAACTATGCTTGTCATATTTATTGGTTCATTTAATAAAACTTGTTATACTTTTGATTGAATACAGTTTTATACCTTCACATGGTACTTCAGGAAACAAACATGTAACGTAGAGGTGCCAAACCAACCAGACACACTGTCATTTGTTTCAGCTGTGTCATGCCCCAACTCCCATGAGCTACCATGAGTGAATTATGCAATTCCCGAAAGAGTTCAAAGAGCTAAAAAATATTGTCAGAACAATTGCTGTAAATTTGCAGAAGTGGAAAGAGATTTTTCAAAAATGAACATAGTATATGTAACCACTGAACGGTGGTAGAATTTTTGCCTCCCCTGTGAGAGACCAGGCTTCAATTCCTGGGCAATGCAGGGAGGACAAAAGCACCCTCCACCCATCAGTAGAGCCTTGCATGTGGCTGTGTTGCTGAACAGCTTTTAGCAGAGCTTGCAGAGCAAGGGAGACTCGGAAGAAAAGCCTGGAGATCTGTGAAATCAGTCAAGGAAAAAGTGAAGATGAAAAACCAGTCAAGGAAAACCCTATTTACTTGTGTATTGAATAGAGATTGAGTCATTAGATCATCTTGAGGTTTAATGCAGTTTCGAGTCTCTGATCTGTGAATCTCATTGTGTGGCCCGGAGTTGATATTGGGGCTGGTCCCATAACTCCACCCAAGCTCAAAGCCATTGAGTGAAACCTGATTTATAGAGTGACCCTATAGGACAACAGAATGGCTTCATTGGGTTTCCAAAGCTATAAATCTTTCTGGGAGCAGAAAGCCTCATCTTTCTCCTGAGGATTGGTTGGAGACCGACAGGGGCAGATCTACTCTGTCCTGTAGGGTTACTATGAGAATCAACTCAATGAGAGTGAGTAGCTTTGTTTTTATTTAAATTCCATGTCTCACTTTTTGAGGCTATGCCAGACTTTTCCAAATGAGTGCACCATTTTACATTCCCACTAACAATGCGTGAAAATTTCCACACCCACGCCAAACATTTCTTTTCTTTTCGAATAGTCATTCTCATGGGTGTAAACCGATCTTTCAGTTTTGAGTTGTGCTTCCCTGATGCCTGAAATGCTGGGCTGCTTTGTGCCCTGTGAGTCATTCTTGACAGCAACATCTTCTTGCCGATTCATCACCAAGTTCTATCAATTCTGCCTATACACCATATTACAATTCGAAGAAGATGAACTTATGTAGCACAATTGCATAACACAAAGCTGCAGCTATCTTCTGAAATGCATTCTCTCTTCTTACCACCTACATCAAATGGCCTTTAGGCAAACGGGAGTGGCTGGACACCGATGGATGTCAATGCTCTAAGTGCTAATCTATTGGACACCCTCGTCCCCCATTCTTGGGAAACCTCACAGTGGAATAGAGTTTGGCTGTGTCTCTAGAGAGGTCACTGTGCATTATCACAAAAAGACCAGCTTTCATTCTTAGTTCTGACGATAGATAAATGAATGATTTATGGCCTCGTGGGAGAGTAGGAAGTGGTATAAGCTCTTGCAGGGACCCTTCGCTATAATTCCAGTAACGCCTGAGTAACACAATGGGAAGTGTCAGTCATGTGCTGCCCATGAAAGTGATTGAAACTGACAGGACAAAGTGTCAGGTTTTGATACACGCATCTCTACCCAGGCAAAAAATAGAGGCGCGTGTGGTAGCTCGCCTGAGTATAAGATCTAGTTGTGACAGGTGGAAGATATTACAGATCCTAGGCATTCCACACTGGTTACCTGAATGAGTCCTAGGAACACGTGAGTTTAATTAGACCAAACAAAAACCTGCTCTCTCATAGAAATGGCCTCCAGCTCAACACTGTGAGTACATCTTTCAGTGCAAGTCACCCAAAGATAACAGAAGTGCAGTCAACAGAAAAGTCTGGATTGAGCTACCTCTGACAGTTCTGCTCTTGTCAGCAATTGTCCAGTCTGTGTCCAAGAGTTAATGCTATTCACTTAGGACACCATTCAGACCACCCTCATCTGGATGCTGGGTCCTGGGGTCGTCTTGCCCTTGTCCTGTTTAGACTGAATATTCTCTTTAAATGAAAAAAAAAAATGCAGTAGAATTGAAAATTTTAAAAAATTTGTGGACAAAATTCACTTTTTTCTTTTTGAATTATAAAGCTAATTTTAATTATAGAGCTAATTTTAATTATAAAGCTAATTTTAACTTTTAAGAGTTAATGCTATTCAAAGGTTGTCAGCAATACAAAATAATAATTCAATAAGGTATAACGCACTCTCTCTTAGGAGAAACATGCCCTTATCTTATCTCTGCTCTGTTCTTAGAAAGGTATATATTCTTCCTGATACACATATATTAAAACATTATAGACATCTATTTTTTATCATGTACCATGATTCCTTTGTAAGAGGTCAAAATGACTCAGAGATATAGCCGGGCTTAAATTTTTAAGTCTGAGTAGGAATTAAGTGGGATAGAAAAGAAAATCGTGTAACCCAAGACAAAAAGAGAACCCTTCGACCCAGCTTTGATTTTCTCGAACTCAAGTGGAGCAGGTTATGTGATGGCAAACGGTGAGAGGTAGGCCGAGCGCACATGGGAACGGTTACAGACTGGATTTCAAGGATGAGAGTTTCGTGTTCATCTGAGTCAAGCAGACAAGGGCACACTTGAGTGACCCTGTAGGAGGTCACGATTGCACCCTGTAGGCTAAGCCAGTTAACCATAACTCTAAGACACTTACCACCTATTGGCCAATACACTGCTTAGTTTTGCCCTATCCTTCTGTCTGAGGCACTCTGGTGGCATGGTAGATTATGTGTTGGGCTGCTAACCGCAAGGTCAGCATTTCAAGACCACCAGCCACTCCACAGGAGAAGGATGAGGCTTTCTACTGCCTTAAAGATTAGTCTCAGAAATCCTCAAGGAACAGTTTTATCCTGTTCTACAGGGGTCACATGACCCACAATCAACCTGGTGGCAGTGAGGGTTTTGCGTTTTGGTTTGACTACACTTCTGTGAGAGTTCAGTGCGTGTAATCACTCACAGAAGGACATATTTCTAAGAAATAATCATTCTAATTTCTACAACCCCTACTCTACAGACTTGCCTCCTAGTCATTATGTTGAACCTTAAAAAGTCTTTCATTTTGAATAATTACAACTAACACAAATTCTAGTTACAGAATGAAATTTCAGAACTGAGGGGCCTGGGAACTTAACCATATCATTGGTGCCCAGTAAAAAATTTTTTTTTAAGATTAGGAAACAAGAAGATCAGCAGAAACCCAGCAGTGGAGGTCCGATTGCCCATAGAAATGCTTACAAATTTCCCTGGGATGGGAGCAATAAGCAAGGGCATTGTCTGGTGGACTCTGGTGAAGCTTTTCTGCTAAAACTTTGATGTTTTCAAAACACTCTTGTGATAAGTAGATGGTATCTTCTCTGGCTCTCTAGAAAATCAACAAGCAGAATGCTTTCTTGTTGGGGGCTGTTGAATCAGCTCTGATTCATAGTGAGCCTAGCACAATAGAACTAGCACTGCTCAACCCGGTACCACCCTCACAATGACTATATTCGAGCCCATTGTTGCAGCCAGTGTACCAATCCATTGAATGAATGGCCTTCTTCTTTTTCTGCAATGACTCTATTTTACCAAGCATGGTGGCCTTTTCCAGGGACTGGCCTCTTCTAACAACCTGTCCAAAGTATGTGAGATGATCTAGACGTACTGGCTTGGAGGAACATTCTGGTTATCCGCCTACCAAGCTAGATTCGTTTTTCTCTTCTGGTCATCCACAGTATTTTCAATATTCTTTGCTAACACAAATCAAATGCATCCGTTCTCCCATCTTTCCTGTTCATTGGCCAACTTTCACTTGGGCATGAGGTGAATGCAAACACCAAGGCTTGGGTCAGGTGCACCTTTGTCGTCCAAGTGACATTCTTGTCATTTTCAGGAGGTCTTGCCAAGCGGATGTGCCCAATGCAATCCCTTGATGGATTTTCATTGACTGCGGCTTCTAAGAGCACAGAGTGTGGATCCAAGCAAAATGAAATCCTTGCCTTGTCTTTTCTCCATTTATCATGAAGTTGGCTATTGGTTCAGTTGTGAAAATCTTTGTTTTCTTGACATGAGTTGAGATTCATCATGAGGGCTGCAGCCCTTCATCTTCCACAGCAAGTCTATCCAGGCCTTTCGGCAAGCAAGCTTGTTGGTACGTCTCCCTCTAATCCTGATGCCAACTTCTTCTTCATATAGTCCAGCTTCTGATTATTTGCTCTGCATACAGAGTGAATACATATGGTGAGAGATACAATTCTGAACATTTCCTGATTGTAAACCATGTTGTATTTCCCCTGCTCCATTCACACAACTGCCTCTTGGCCCATGGACAGGTTCCACATGAGCAAAATGAAATGTTCTGGAATTCATGTTCTTCTCTATGTTATGCATAGTTTATAATCCACACAGGTGTCTTTGCCTGGTCAATAAAACACCAAGAAACATTTCTTTAGACCTTTCTGATTTCAGCCAACATTCATCTGACTTTAGCAATGCTATCCTTTGTTCCATGTCTTCTGAATCCCGCTTGAATTTCTGGCAGCTCCAGTTGATGTACTGCTGCAACCATTATTGATTTATTTCAGCAAAATTTTACTTGCATGTGATATTAATGGTATTTGATAATTTCCACATTCTGTTGGGTCACCTTTCTTTGGAATGGGAACAAACAGGGATCTCTTGTAGTTGGTTGGCCAGGTAGCTGTCTTCCAAATTTGTTGGCATAGTCCAGTGGTTCTTAACCTGTGGGTCGCGACCCTTCTGGGAGTCGAAATGACCCATTCACAGGCACCACCTAATACATCCTGCATAGCAGATATTTTCATTACGATTCCTAACAGTAGCAAAATGACAGTTATAAAGTAACAACGAACATAATGGTATGGTTGGGGGTCTCCACCACATGAGGAACTGTATGAAAGGATCGCAGCATTAGGAGTGGGGCACCCCTGGCATGGTTGAATGAGTACTTCTAGTGCTTCATCAGCTTGTTGAGACATTTCAATTACTATTCCGTCAATTCCTGGAGCCTGGTTTTTGCTAATGCTTTCAGTGCAGGTTGGACTTCCTCCTTCATGATCAATGGTTCCTGATTATATGCTACCTCTTGAAACGATTGAATGTTGACCAGTTCTTTTTAGTAAAGTGACTATTCTTTCCATCTATGTTTGGCACTTTCTGCATCATTCAATATTTTGCCCATAGTACCCTTTAGTATTACAAATTGAGGCCTGAAGTTTTCCTCCCATTCTTTCAACTTGAACATGTTATTCCCTTCCGGCTTTTTAACTCCCCATCTTTGCACACTTCATTATAGTACTTTATTCTTCTGGAGCTGCTCTTTAAAAATTTCTATTCAGCTCTTTCATGTCCCAAAAAACGATTGCTATGACCGTTGTTCTTGGCTGATCTGCTTCTGCTTTGATCAGACCACTTCCATCTCTTTGTATCAATGACTGTACTTTGCATTCAGGATTTACAAAATCCCATTTCATCTCGTTACAATTCTTCCAAGAAATGCTTCAAGATCTTGATTTCACTTGTTTAAAATTTCCATTGAAAGCTCCATTCTTATTTGTAGCTGATCTTGGGTGCAAGTTTCCACACCCATCCAGTGGACAGTTTGGTCAGCTCTATTTTCTGTAAGCTGAACCGATAGTGATAAATATAGTGTTGGCTATTGTTCCTGTTAATTGCTGGTCCTCTTCAATTATGGCAAGAACAAGATTTTTTCCTCACAAATTAATGCAGTTTGTCACTATGGATTTTATCTTCAATATCATCTTGTCCCTTAAAATGAGTTATCCACACGTGAAATGCCAGGTTGGGACACTGTTCCCATAAGCTTTTGGTAAAGCATCAATGCTTTTCATTATTCTTCCACAGAAAAATCACCATAAATTTGATGTTTGCTTTTACTTTAAACAGAATATACAGTATATTGTTCTGCTAGGGCAGTGGTTTTCAACCTTCCTAATGCCACGACCCTTTAATACAGCCCATGTTGTGGTCCCCCTCCGCCAACCATAAAATTGTTGCTATTTCATAACTGTAATTTTGCTGTTATGAGTCTTCTGACCCCCAAAGAGGTCGCGACCCACAGGTTGAGAACCGCTGTGCTAGGGGCTCTTTTCAAACTCACATCTTCTCCTTAGTGCCTCAGATAGATCCTGTTCAGATGTAACGTACAGGTTTAAGTTGGTGCAAAAGAGGAAAATCAAGAATCCATTTTATCCAGATGACAAAGTCTACATATAACCTCCTCCCTGGGGGACGGACAGCGAAATGGGTGAGGGAGACGTCAGATGGTATATGATATAAAATAATAATTTGTAAATTTTCAAGGGGGAGGGGGGAGCGGGGAGGGAAGGGGAAAAATGAGGAGCTGACACCAAGGGCTCAAGTAGAAAGCAGGTGTTGTGATGATGATGGCAACATATGTACTAATGTGCTGGACACAAATGATGTATGTACGGATTGTGAAGAGTTGTATGAGCCCCTAATAAAATGATTATAAAAAAATCCATTATCTTTACTTTCTACATAATTTTTTCTTTCATGATCATTTTATTAGGGGCTCTTACAATCCATACATCAATTGCAACATGCAAATTTGTACACAAGTTGCCATTATTTTCTAAACATTTGCTTCCAACTGGAGCCCTGGGTATCAGCTTTTTTCCCCCTCTCCTCCGCTACATAAACTTTTGCATGACCTTTGACAAAGTCAAGGCTCAATTTGTTCTTTCAGGGTTATGAGCTAGAACAATGCTGCCTTACATAAAATAACGTTGTTTACTTTCGTTTCAGGTCAGACTTTAGCTTTGATCCCACTTAACTATACGTGATTTTTGAACTTGGAAAAAGGGGACTAAGTACAGTATAAAAAACACTTCATTTTAATAGGTTTATGAGAAGCTTTTGTACTGGATTGCATCTAACTGTATTATTTGTCAACATAAAAAAGGCGACCTTCCCTAAGCATCCTGAACTAAAGTTGAATTGGGGTTGACCACAGACGGGAATGCCAATAACCTAGTATTACTAAATGACCAGAAAGCCAGCTGCCATTAAAAAGTTGGTCTTGATTGCCCTACTGTCAAGTGCTAAAATCGTCTGGTGACTGACATTCTCCCTCTTTGATATCAGCCAGCCTTAGATTGGTAAATAAGGATAATTTTTCCCTTAAGTACGTACATATATGACAAGTGCAACATTTAGTAAGGCTTTTAATGCAAAGTCATTGTGATCGAGAACAGTGTTCCCTCAAGTGGGTGATGCTCGCGCCTGTGGGGGTTACAATTCAGGCAGCGGCGAAGAAGGCTGATACTCTTCTTTGTAGATTATAAGCTATACAAAGTACAAGTTTTTAACCAGTAGGGGAACACGGAGTAATTGTTTCTGAAATGGGAGCAGGACAAAGAATTTTGGGAATCTAGGATAGAGTGGCTATTTCAAAAAGAAGTTACATATCACATAGACAGACATTTTATGTTGTTGGGAATAGGTTTTTAATTTTCCCTGGCTATAGAAGTTGTCTAAAGGTGATTTTTTCCCCAAGTTTTGTTATACTTTGAATGTTTTGGTGTAAAAATCTTGACTTTTCACCACAGTGATTTCATACTTATCCTTTTGTGACGGACATTTCACTGAGCAGGTCCTCCACATTCATCCATATGTGGTTCTGTGGATTTGCCATTCTTCTGTTACTTGGTTTATCCACGCTTCCATGGATTGGCATTTAGGTTGTTTCCATGTTTTTGTGAATAGTGCTGTGATGAACGCGTACTAATGTCACAGCTCCTAGTACTCCACGTTATACAGCAAGTAGTGAGAAGGCTGGGTCATCTGGTATGTCTAGTTCCAATTTGAAAAGAAAGTGCCAAACCCCTTTAAATAGCCCCACCAGCAATCTATGTGTTTCTGTACTTCAAATACTTTTTCTAAGTAAAACAGTATTTTCTTTTGTCTTTACTGACGTCATCAATTGATGAAACTAGCATGGCTACTGAAATGAACGCATTTTTCTAACTTCCTTTGCAAAGACCATGATGCTTAAAATGCTGATTACTAACAAGGCAAATGCAGAGAGACAATTTTATTAATGGTCACCAGGTGAGTGAGAGTGTGTGCGTATGAGAGTCGGGGTGTTTTTAATGGGTACTGAGTTCCTATGTGGGAAGATGTAAAACTTTTGAGAATGGTGAGTATAAATAAGGTCACTGGATTGTATATATTTTATCACAATGAGAGTACAGAAATGCATATCCAACATCCTCACATTGCTCCGCCAGTTATCACTCAATTTACATTTTAAAATGAGTTTATTACAGAACGTTTGTAGGAAGGCAACAGCTTCTGATTTGTCATTAAAAAAAAGTTCAGTTTCCCATGCTGTATAATAAAGGTAAGAGGTTACAGTTACGAGCTGCTTCCGAGGGGAATTCTGTGCCAGTGTAGCACAGGTGAGCCACTTCTGCACTGCAAGAGTAAGTTAAAGTCTCTTCTAGGCTTCTCCTCAAACAGCGACAAACAGAAGATGGCAAGAGAAAGCCCGTTTCTTTAATCATTCTGTAGTGCTGGAGCCAGTATCTAGAAAACAGAAGAGAAAATAAGCTCAAGGAGCAGTTCCGTTTTAAAGGGAGAGATTTTAAGACTGTATTTAAACACACACACACACACACACACACACACACACACAGGAACTAGTAGTGGTAGTGGCTTGAGGGGTAGGGTTAAAGAGGGGGCAAGGTTCAAGAGGGAAGCCTAGACAAACATAGCTTAGGAACTTAATAATTCTCCGGGCAGAGGGGAAACGACAATGCTCGCCTCTCTAACTCTGAGTGCGCGAAAACTCCAGTCGTACTACATGTTGTTTATGTAACTGCTGTAGAACCACTGTGGGATCCAAGTCCTCTAACTCCTCCTCTGCCCCTCTTTCATACCACGAGAGAACCCTAACAAATCATTAGAAGAGGATTTAAAGATAGGTCTTGGTATTGCAGAGAGCCAAATTCCTGTTTCTCTATTAGGAACTCAGCTTTACAGCAGACAGCTGGCCTTGGGAACAAAATGAGCTTACTTTACAGCAGCACTTCATTTATTTGGCATCACACAGTATTTTCTTAATGATTCAAACACACCTGTCTGTCAATGCCAAACCATTTCTATTGTAATTTGGAGGAGATTTTCTAAGATTTCACCCTTCTGTGCTGCTAGAGATAAAGTACACAAGCGAGGCTTTTCTTGAGCCCTCAGGCCACTGAGATCAGGCAGGAGGATTTATGACTTCTCCTGTAAGCGTGGACATACAAAGAGCTTACATTTTTAAATAAAGGGCACACTCTCAGGGTCTTCAGGACAGCAGCTCCCACGAGTAACCACCTGTCTTTACACGGCTGCTCCAACACCACCAGGGTGCTCGGAACGGGCTTCACCACTTTTGGTTCCTTGTCAGAATGACAGAAAGACCCAAGTACCTGATGACTAAACTATCCTATGCCTAAAGTTCTTTGAATGACTGCTCCTAATCCACCTTGTGAAAGGCACCAATTGTAATTGCCTGAGACTTTGACATCTGGAAGAGACTTTCTTTAAAAGGGGCGAAACGGCTAACTTTATATAGAGAGTAATTAAGATGAGGTTTAAGAAGAACAGACTGTCTTATATGAACAATGGAATACTTAGAAATGTGGGTCTACACAAACACACACATTGCTTTAAAGAAACATACATAAAAGACTAGAAGGTTATATAATGCAATATTAAAAGTGGTCAAGGTGTTACGCAGGATTCTTTATGTTGTGTGATTTTCTGTATTCTACTTTTCTTCAATAATTCGCTATTCCATTTGAATTCTAATACACATACACAAAAAAGTGACTCATCTTAGAAATAAGGGCCTCCTACATTTTTTCTCTCTTTAAAACTCCCATTTTGCAGCACAATGAGTCTTTCTCTATTTTTAGGAACAGATGTGCCTTTGACACAACATGTTCAGAAATTAAAGCATACGAAGGAGCTTCAAAAGTTTCACGGAAAAATGGAATGAAAAGATAATGGGATTTTCCCCACAAACTTTTAGAAACTGCTCTGTATATTCAAAATAAAATTAGCAAGGCAGAAACAACTACCTATAGAACGGAAGCAGAGATGCCAATGTCCAAAGCGGCTAAGGCCTTGGGACGAGTTCCTGGGTCCGTTGTGGAGGCTACATCCGTACCAACACGACAGACAGGCTAGCTACTATTACAGCTGAGCAGGCTTTTACTGACAGTTAACGGCCATCAGCTTTTAGGTAATTTGTTTTTAAAATCTAAAATGCCGAGGTATCCAGTAACACAGAAACCACAGGCTAAACAGTCTCACTCAATCAACACTTCCTTACAGAAAAAGGGGGCTGTGAACAGGCAGATGGACACTGAGTATCTGTAGCGGAAATAAGGAAGACAGGTGTATGTGTTTGCGTATGGTCGTCCTCACACAAGTTAGTGGGGACACGGGGCGGGTTCAATGCAGGAGCGGTTGGAGATCTGGAATTCAGACTCCAGCAGAGATGACGGCGGGTTTCTGGATGGGCGGCTTTCAGACACACAGTTCTTAAAGCTTCATAACAACATGTCACGCGGTTTGGCTTTCACAGTAATTAGATGAACACTTACTTTTACCATCACAGGCTACAATTTTCACTTTATCCACTTTAATAAGCTCTGTCACCTCTCTGAATTCAACATCATTCAAAACAAAAGTCCACACATTATCGCAGAATCTGTACGTATTTAGAGAGCCCTTTAAAACAAAACATTTAGACACACCATGAAGAGTCATTTTCCCCCAAAGCAAATTAAGAGAACCCAGCTACCATGTCAATAATTCTGAACAGTAAATATATGCTTAATTAACGTTTAAGAGTTTCTTAATTCAATCATATCACCTTTTAAAATCACACAAAAACAAACCCTGGAGAATTTTACTAAGGGAAGAGTGGAAGAATATTTTAGTTAGCAGTCTACTTTCAGCACTGTAAAGAGGCTGCAAATTACTTACCTGAAATCTGCAGAAAAGCAGAGGGAACACTTGAGGTGTTTCTACTGCCCTCACGTGGTTACACTGTGAAAGTTCATTTTTAAAAAGCTACATCTTCACTGAAAGCAGCAAGTGATCAAGCTGCAAACCAAAAAGGTTGGTGGTTTGAAAGCACCCAGTGCCCCCAGAGACCAGGGGATGTGCCCCCTGAAAGAGGGCGCCCAGAAACCCTCAGGGGCAGTGCTACTCTGCCCTGTGGGGTGGCTGGGAGCCAAAAGCCACCAACTAAACTTGTATTGTGGGCATCAAGTCTCCACTTTGTAGAAGCAGGGATTGCCTACGAGATGGATTTTAACTGTGGAGCCAAGGCTAACACTCCTTGTCCCACGCAACTGACATTCCCATCGTTAATAAAAAGCTTTCGGGGAATTGAAAGCTTTGGAAAAGCATGTGGTGAAAGGGCGAGGATAGACAGCAAAATACAATGAATACCTGAGGCGGGCAGGCAGACACACCTGTGAAATTTAGTGTGTGAAGCCATTGTACATGCCTAAAAACAGTCCCCTGTTCCTCAAACGGCATTAACTACACCAATATCCCCGTGGAGTGTTATCTGTTAACAGCCGCAATCGGAGGACATCTGATGGCTATGAGTGGCATGCATAAATGCAAGCCATTGCCGTGTGAGACCATGACAGAGTGTAAGATACAGTGGTGTGTCTCTGCCACCCAAGCTTGGTTAGGAAGAAAGATCATTTAATCAAGCGAAAGCTTAGTGTAGCAGTGCGAGGAGGAGGGGGCTGCTGAGCAGAAGGAGCACGGAAGGAGCACTCAGGGAATGGAGGGCCGAAGGCAGACGAGGCTTTCTGAAGTGTCCGTTGAGTCCTGAAGAAAGAGTGACAGTTAGTCGAGGGAGAGTGGGCAGGGAAAGGAAGAGAGCCTTGGACTGGGTTAGCAGGTTTCAAGAGAAGGTGTGAGCAAGCGCTCAGGTGAAGCCCACCACGGAGAGCCTAGGAAACCCTGCCCTGCACTAGGAGCACTGGACGCCACGAAGGAGCTGAAGCAAAGGAGCCGCAGGATCAGACTTAGCACAGGACGTACTTGAAAAGGAACCAGCTCTAGTGTGGTGAGCAGTGAGCGACAAATCAAGGGTCATTCTCAAGTGTGGGGCTCCAGTAAGAATGCTTTCATAGAAAAGTTGGGTTAGGAGGCAAATTACATTTGGACTTGTTCAGTTTGAGATTCAAGGCAAGTCCTGGTGTCTAGGAACAGCGGAGCTTAGGACAAAGCTCAGGAGTGAGAACAGATCAGAGTTAACGAAGGCCACGAAGTGGAGCGGAACTGGTCAAGGACGGCTGTGGAGGCCCTGGGTAACTGAGGAATGAATGAATGACTGGCAGACAGGGAGTCACCAGAGTTAGAATACATTCTTGATCTGGTTCAAGGGAAGAATGGGCCTGGACAAATTAGGAATTATCAATGTGCTGTATCTTTTGATGAAATCATGGAAAATGACAGTTAGATGAAAATAGTGTGGACTCAAAAAGAGACCGAGTTTGCTGTGAACTCGAGGCACGAGGCACGGGCTGGCGGAGCCTGAAGCAGAGCATGCCACTGGGAAAAGAAAACCCAAGAATGGAAGAGTGAGTCCCGATCAGGGCAGAGGAAGGATTTCCAGCGTTTGGACAACAGGCCAAAGACTCTCTTCTAGAGACGGGCACCTGTCAAATGACCTTTAATCTTAACCAAGTAGATCCAAATGAGAAGCCTACATTTATTTTAATGTTACACCACTCTTGTCAATATCATGATGTGGCGGTTTTTCCTTTTCCATGGTTCCTACAATGGGAATTTACACTGAACCATCTGATAAAGCGTTGCCAGCTCCGGCTGTCTGTTCAATGCACACATTGTGCCACGCCTCAGTGTCCACGCGAACAGACCCGCATCTTCTTTTTAAGTTCTCGTCTTTGTAAGCTAGGGTGACGCTGAGGAGGTGGGAGGCACTGTGAAGCTTCTAGAAACCACTTTGTATTTGACTGAGCTGGGTGAAGGTCATGGGTGAAGGTCAAAAGCTGAAAACAAACTTACTGTTAACGAGTCGGTTTCGACTCAGAGAGACCTTATCGGACAGGGCAGAACTGTCCCAGCGGGTTTCCAAGATGGTCACTCTCCTCGGGTGAAGGCCAGAGTTTGAAAACACCCAAGTAGACCTCAGAGAGGGCTCTGCCACTACCCTCAGTGCAGCACATCATGTTGCAGGCACTGGGGCTCCAGTCACTCTCGGGGAAGGCAGCCACAGACACACGCGGACACGTGCAACAATGGAACAAAAGTCTCAGAACAACTCTCTTCTTCTGAGGGGAGGCACTCAGTGCACAGACCATTTGAAAGTAAGTGCCGTTGGGTTATCACAAAACCAGTTCCAAATTTTAATACAGTAGCTTGTCCTCTTATGACGGATACATTTGTAAGGCCCCCAAACAAAAACAACCCCACCATTGTAGTAACCACTGGTGTAAGCGTCTAGATTTAGGAAAACGTCCTTACCCTGAAATTGACTCTGTTCCTGACCCTCTGAGCCAGGGCTGAATTTATAGCCTTATCAAATTGAAGAAGAACTTGAAGGGCGAGTTGAGGAGTGATCTGTTGAGACTG